TAACGAAATAGAGTTCCGCGTCTTTTTTGGGAATTAGTTTAATGATACCACGTCTTTGTGTTATAGAGAGGCAGCAAGATTCTAAAGCGCAATTAAGCGCGGAGATCAAGAGGGAGGAGATATCTTTCCAGAAAACTTTATAAAATTTTGCTGGGAGACTGTCTGAACCAGGCTTCTTGCCCGAATCCATGCTTTTTACAGCTTCAGCACATTCCTTTTCAGACAAAGGACCCTCGCAGCTCTCTTGTTCCTCGAACCCTAACACAGTTTCATTAACTTGTTGAAAGAAAAATGACTGGGGGCCGCATCTTCCTTGGAAGTATAAAGACTCTTGTAGAAAGATTCGCATTCCGATAAAATTGCTACGTCGAAAGTGACAAATTCAGTGTCGTTAATTTTTAATTGACTTATTGTTCCTTGTTTAAAATGTCGACTTTCAAGGTTCGGAAAGTACTTGGTATTCTTTTCCCCTTCGTTATACCATTGAGACTTTGAACGAAGTATTGCACCTTTAGTCCGATATTCTATTATTTTTTCGAGGTCCCTCTTTAGGGTGTTAAGTTTTTCTATAACATTCTGGCTTGGAGGTTCACTACTGTTTCCGTTGTCAAGTTGTTTTTCTAAAATCGCGATTGACTTTACTAGATCCTCTTCTCTTTTCGTTCTTTCTGTTTTTTTTGATGCCTTGTAAGAAATTTATTTCTCTCTCACTTTCAGTTTTACCATTTCCCAAAGTAAGATAGGGTTGACCGTCTCATCATTTTCATATTCGCCTACAGTATTTTCTATTGCTGCCTTGATTTTATCTAGGTAGCAAGTTTCTGATAGTAAAGAAGTATTCAGCTTCCAAAAGCCATTTCCTCTGGGGTTTGAGTGTAAAGATAAACTTAGAGTAATCATGGAATGATCAGTTTTGAATCCTGGGATAATGTCTGCCTGAGTCAAGAACTAAATTGAAATCACCTCCGATTATAATTTCTTCACAGTGAAAGCTGGATAAGTGACTAAAAACAGCCTGAAAGAAATCTGGGTCGTCCTCGTTAGGTGCATATACATTAGCTAGAGTTAGAAGTTTACTGTTTGTTTCGATATCACATATTACGAAACGGCCATTAGATTTGTTTAACAATGGAGCAATTATCCTTACTTAAAAGATCCGGGGAGTAATTCATGATTTTCTGATTGATAGCTATAATGAGAGGAAACCTGCCAAGTTCAGCTCTACATGCTACATTGGATGCCTAACTGCTTACTTCTAAATAACGCTTAAAGAATTGGAGATGTGTTTCTTCGATCTGGGAACTGTCCCAAGATATGAGATCAGATTTTCCATATGCACCCCAGACTTCACTGTTATATGTCAAAATTGGGGAGATCATCGCGTCGCAATTTTTATTCGCTACGAATGGAGGTAGTTTGCTGAAATTTGTGTGTTTTCTAAGACTGAAAAGGGCGTGGAGGGTCTTTTCTTTCAATTTATCAAGTGCCAATGAAAAGTTACCCGTTGAAGAAATGAGTGTTCCCAAGTAAGTTTAATTTTGAACAATTTCAACAGGCTCATTGCCGATATGAAAATTAGGCTCGGTACATTTCTTAACACGTTTCTGAAAGGTCATGACATTGGTTTTTTTTTCTTTTTCGGATTGATACTTAACATCCATGCACTGTAATAGGATGATAGAGTGTTACGGCAATTTTACAGTCCTAGTTTTGATTTTGACAACATGACTAAATCGTCTGCATATAAAAGTGAATTTAATTTTGCGCCGTTTGGTAGGACAAAGGGATCATAGAATTTTTCGAAAGAGAATGGTATGTCATTAATAAAGAGGTTGAACAATAACGGGCTCAAAATACAACCTTGGCGTACCCCTGTTACGTATGGAAAGGGCCGTGTTTGATATATTTGTAAAACTGGCTGTCTGCGTTCTTGAACTCTGCATTTATTTCAGATAGCCGGTCCACCCTCTCCCTTTTTTAAAATAAGTTATAACACAACTGTATGTCGCTCTTTTCAGCTAATTTACCAAACAATTTGCGGAGTTTTTGTAGAAAAATAAAAGTTTGTTTAAAAAAATGTTAGAATTGATCGTGAGATAAATAAATATATAACTATAAAGTAATGGGAATATCACATGATGATAGCCTTATATGGATCGTTTGTAGTATTAATTTGCTTCTGTAGAATGTGGCAAAGGGAATTGTACTACAGAGAAACAATTGATCTCTTTAATCTCTTAAGTAAAAAAAGTAAATCATAAAAGCTGGTTGTGCGAAACTTTGCCCGCTTTTGCAATCAATAAGACAAATAACACGCTGTGGCTATATGACACGCAACTGGTCAAGGTTTCTGATTTAGACTAATTGACCGGAATTGAGAGGGATCAAACCCGGGTCACCAGCATGATAAGCGATACTCATTACCACTGCGCCACCGAGACCGGCTGTTAGCTTTCGGAATTTTTAAACTATATATAGTGTTACACTTGCCATTATTGAAAGCTTTCCTTAAACAGGCTAACCGGAGTGCTTTTTGGGCTAAACTACAAGAAAGGTTTGACTGCCGGTTTATTAGTTCATTAAAAACCTTGTAGGACTGCCGGTCATTTAGACACCTCGTAGATAATATTACTGACGCAGTTAATTTATTTTAAGGTTGTTTACAAAATTTATTTCTTATTTTTTTATTATTATCCCTTCTTTTTCTTTTAGAAGCATTGCCGACTGCGATCTTAAACATATCGAGAATGGAACATTTCGAGCGATGCACAATTTATCCACTCTGTAAGTATATAATTTGTTCTGTTTTCTAAGCAACATCTCGATTTGATTTAGCGAGGAGAAATTTCTAGTGCTTCAAAAATTTAGCTCATGCCGAAATGTTTGCTTTAATTGCTGTCGCCTACCTAGCCCTAATTGTTCGATTAATTCAATCAAATACTTTATCTAATGAATCTGTTTGGTCTACATATACAGCGACCTTTCCGGCAATGTAATATCTCATTTACAACCTGGTGCATTGGAAGGACCCGGCGATCGACTATTGAAATTGTAAGTAACTCAGCTTAAAATTGTCTCTCACTACCAAGCCACGAAAATTCTGTTTCTGAAACTTATGGATCTTCATTTCATAAATTATAACTTCGGTCCTTAATCTTTCTGTGAGCTGAATGGTGTGTTTTACAACAGGAAATTGGCCCGGAACAGGCTAGAGACCATAGCTGATGGAACATTTGCACGATTTAGTAAACTCACTCATTGGTAAGCTTTGTCTCTACAGATTACTTAAGAAATAGATTCCATGTTGTCCTGCGTCTGTTCAGTAATAGATCACAGCGAGTGTGTAATTGATGTTCTTACCACATCTTGATGTCTTCTGCCTAATACTAAACAGACGCACGGCACATGGAATCTACTTGTTTTAAGCAATAAAATAAATACGAACCAATCAAAATGCGAGAATAATTCGACGTATTATATAAAAATAAATAAACTATTTACTATTATATTATCACCTGCAGAATTTTCCCAAAGTATATCCGGGATCTATTTCCACCAAACAACATTAAAAGAGGTCACTCCAAAAAAAACGTATATTTTTTGTCTACGCTAATAAAAAACACTTGCACTAAGTTTAGCCACTCACCGAAGTTTCAGCCTCTAAAGTACAGGTTTTCTTTATGAAATGCGACGCCAAAGAAGCCCAAAATTCGAACATCGTGGCCGCCATTTTGAACAGTACTTAGCAGTCCGGCCGCATTTTCTTGACGTCATTGCGTCCAAGAGATTTTGTCCAAATGGCTTCCAAAGAGCCTTTTAACCACCACTCTGGGTTATGGCTGCTCTTGAGCCATATTATTTTTAGCCAAACATGCTCCAGACTCCGAAATGATAGCATTGAGATAGTGGAGTGGATAATCCCTTAGGAAAAAATAGATTTTGCTGACCTTGTGAAGGATGCCAAGTCAGCAGCAGGTTTTTCTCCTTCCCGCAAATTTCGAGTTGGACGGAATGACGTCACATAAACGCGACCTGGCTGCCAAGAGAGTTTCAAAATGGCGGCCTCCGAAGTCGCTTCTTTCGAGACGAATTTCTTCAGGATAGCGAGCACTTCAGAGGCTGAAACTTCGGTGAGTGGAAAAGCTGAATGTTTACTTGCTATAGGCGAAGACTGAGAAAGTAAACTTTTTGGAGTGACCTTCTCCTTTAAGGTAATTCCCCTGAAATTTTTCTATTTCTCTTAGTCATTTCTGTTAGTCTCTTAGTTATTTCTATTGATCACCGTGCTTGTTTACGCGTCAGCAGGCTCTTAAAATGGGGTATTTTTACTGGTTGCGCGTTAAAAATTCGAATCACCTTCTTACAGAATTAAGTCCTGGTTACTTGAAAGACAAAAATTTATCTTGAAAGTAAAACTTCTGTTATTCACATAAGCATTATTGTTTCATTTAACCGCTTTTGATTGCCTCGTTGTAGGAATATTGCACTTTTCGGACAGTTCCGTGGTTAGCTTGAAGTCCTCGCATTGGCTAAGATATACCCAGGACGGAACTATTTTCAAAAAAAGTCATGTTCTACTATCAAACTTTTTTTCTTCTTTAAATTTGTTCTTTATTAGACTGTTCTTAGCAAATACCTGCAAAAAAAGTCGGGGCTCACCGTGCTCGTTTAAGAGAAAAGGGGCATTTATTTCGCAATCGAGCTTAGTTTGAGGGAAATATCTTACGTTTGGTACGCGCACCCGCTCATGTGTGCGCGCTAATGACGCGAAAATCGTACGCAGTAGTGATGCGCAATGCAATACTAAGGAATCACCTTAAATGCAATCTTTGGAACGCGGCCGTTTACTCTTAAATTTTTTTATCTAAAACTACACTGAATTAGAGTCCCTAATTAATCATTCTGTGATCAACTTTGTTGCTGACGCTAGTAAAGTTCATCATCATCATCATCATCATCATCTTATTGCAAAGGAATATAATAGCGCAAATCAAATACACAGTTTTGTAAAATATGATACGTAATACCATCTAATGGACGAGTTCGATAAAGAATTCTTAAACGAGTATAACGGTTCTGAGTTGGACACTCTGTGAGGGATTTGAGCTGGGCACAGCTCTGTAACTGTTTCCAATTACCTTTTCTTGTTGTTATCTTTCAATGTTATCTTGATTTCGATTTTTGTACTTGTAAGTTAGTAATATTTAGTAGAATTCTATTAGTATACTAATGCAAATGCTGCAATCTGATTGGCTGAACAACTCGTATATTATCAGCTATTATAGTTCCC